ATCTATCTATCTATCTATCTATCTATCTATCTATCTATCTATCTATCTATCTATCTATCTATCTATCTATCTATCTATCTATCTATCTACCCATCAAGCTAACTACCCATCTAGTTATCTACCCATGTATCTATTTGTCTGTCTTTCTGTCTATCCACCAATCTACCCATCTATCTACTCACTCACCTTTACAAGAAGACACACAGAAAAATTGTAAACATGGTAAGTAATGGTAATATCTACAAACAGAATCTAGGTGTGTAAGTGCTGATTAGAAACGGTTTAACTCCACTTGCTGCACAATTCAGGATTTCTGTTAAGTTCCAAGTAAAGTGATTATTTCATTGTATCCATCACAGACGGCCACATGAGAATTCGATATGTGTGCTCATTGACAGCTGCCTCCTGATCGTCCTTTCAGTGGACTTTGCAACACACAGCCAGTTAAGATAAGGGGGACGGCACTGCACCAGTGGGTTCTTAAGGTCAATCAATTTCTGTGCTATACAACCGTACTGTAGCATAGAAGTTGTTCAGATCTGCCACTAGTGCCTATTAAAACCCACAGAACGCATGGAGCCACACATGGAGCTGATGGTGAGCCAGCTAGACCCGGTCCATGGTAAAGACATCCACATGAAATTGGAGAGGATTGGATTGGAGAGCTACCGTGAAACAGACACCTGAAACGAACGGTTTTAAAGACGAGGAGGGCTGATGCAGAGCAATGAGCACACAGAGTGGGAGGAGGGACGTGATGCTAGTCCTCCAACAAGGTGAGTGAAATTTCACCCAAACAACCTGAGACAAAAAAGCAGTTTTCTCCTTTGTTTGTCTTTGGGTCAACCTTGGATAACTCCATTAATGGGAGGAGAGGAGTGGTCTAGTCCCTAGAGGGCATTTCATTAGAAGTACACTGAATGTGACCATCCGTCTTAGCAGGTTTGATGACAGAGATCTGGTCTAGAATGGATACAGGCCCTGTGCATTATGGGGATACTTGTCTCCTTGACAAAGGGGACACTCAAAACCAGAGAGAGTATGAATGTCCTTGGGTCAGAGACCAAAGGGACACTTCAAATGTAGAACAAGAAAAGAAAATCAACCATAAACAAGGATATCGACAGCCACACTCAAATGAGACATTTTTAACTGTTTTATTTTTTGCAGAAATATAAAACTTGAACAGAACTCAATAAAAGAAGAGAAAGAACAGAAAAATTAACCTTTTCTATCAGCTTTCTCTTGATTTTTATCACACTGTGTTGACTGATTCAAAATTTTTTCAACTTATGTGAATGCTAGAAAAAAAAACATCACACCACACACAGTAGTTTATAATTACATATAAATGAGACCAGGTAAACCTATTTATCTTAATAGGTGAAAGCCAGCAGTAAGGAGTATCAGTATAAATGTATTTAATTTTAACTTTCATGTTCAAAATAAAGAATATTAAATAAGAAACAGATTATTAAAAAGACACGAGGACTGCAAAAAACACTTTGAATTATGGACTATTTTGGCATGTGAGGACTTACTTTCTATAAACGACTCCAGGTTTGGCAGTAACAAAGGGTCTCAGCAGGGTCTGGATGCGACTCTCCCAGCACCAGAAGGTGGGGTAGTAGGTCTCTGACACTACTGGACATTGCTCCTTTAGAAAGTGGTAGAACTTCTTACCTCCAGACACAAGTTGAGGTTTCTGGAAAGTAAAAAATTAAATAAAAAGAAAAGTTTATAATTAAGCAGACATTTTTTTTATTTAGCAAACGTTTTGTGAAAAGGCTTGTAGCTTTAACTAAAAGAACTTACATTGTTTGAAGGAATGCATTTTTCTCCCCTCCACCTTTCATGCCAGAGATTAAAAGTAAGATCATTTTATTTGAGAAACGACATGAGATCTCTTACTATTTTGGGTTAACTTGTGAATTATATTTTGAGAGTTCAGTTTTAAGGTTTATTATGCCAAAGCTTTAGGCAAAAAAGGGTACAACATTTGCAGTACTCTGAGCATGAAGTACGGATGATGCTCAGCTACTACCACACTACATTTTAGCTCAGTATCTAAAATCAGCAAGATTTTAGCCACTTTTGTGTTTTCCCAGGTCAGTTGGCTGTGGCAGTCATCTTTAATGGGGTTGACTTCAACAGTTAATCAGCTTTAATCAGAGATCTGATAAAAGATATGGTCTAGAACAGTGGTTCCCAAACATTTTATCTTCTGACCCATAAACTATCCATGGCAAAAACTTGTGACCCCAAATATTACTGGTATGAGTACACAAACTTCGTTAATAACCCTAAAAACACAGGATTTTTGACCATCTAAACAGCTTGTACACAAATGTTAATACTTATTTATACTTAAGTTGTGTTTTTGTAATAATTATAGGGAATATTTTAAATATACTAACCTCACTCTGTAAAAGCTAAAGCAAAAATGTAATTAATTCAGAAAATCTTTTCAGGACCCCACCTTGAAGTTTCGGGACCCCACTTTGGGTCCCGACCCCAACTTTGGGAAATATTGGTCTAGAATGGATACTGGCCCTGCGGATTATGGGAATATACTTTCTGAATGGTTAATTCAAATCCATCCACTGGTTCTTGAGATATTTCGCTAACACTGTTTCATTCTATGAACTCATTTGAAAATGTCCAACACCAATCAAATTTAAGCTTAAAACAGTTCTAAAAAGTTATGGTTTAGGGTGAATTGTGTCATATTTGCTCCTCTATTGTCTATAAACACAGTTATACACTCACGGGCCACTTTATTAGGTACACCACGCTAGTAACGGGTTGGACCTCCTTTTGCCTTCAGAACTGCCTCAATTCTTCGTGGCATAGATTCAACAAGGTGCTGGAACATTCCTCAGAGATTTTGGTCCATATTGACATGATGGCATCACACAGTTGCCGCAGATTTGTCGGCTGCACATCCATGATGCGAMTCTCCCGTTCCACCACATCCCAAAGATGCTCTATTGGATTGAGATCTGGTGACTGTGGAGGCCATTTGAGTACAGTGAACTCATTGTCATGTTCAAGAAACCAGTCTGAGATGATTCCAGATTTATGACATGGCGCATTATCCTGCTGAAAGTAGCCATCAGATGTTGGGTACATTGTGGTCATAAAGGGATGGACATGGTCAGCAACAATACTCAGGTAGGCTGTGGCATTGCAACGATGCTCAATTGGTACCAAGGGGCCCAAAGAGTGCCAAGAAAAGATTCCCCACACCATGACACCACCACCACCAGCCTGAACCGTTGATACAAGGCAGGATGGATCCATGCTTTCATGTTGTTGACGCCAAATTCTGACCCTACCATCCGAATGTCGCAGCAGAAATCGAGACTCATCAGACCAGGCAACGTTTTTCCAATCTTCTCTTGTCCAATTTCGATGAGCTTGTGCAAATTGTAGCCTCAGTTTCCTGTTCTTAGCTGAAAGGAGTGGCACCCGGTGTGGTCTTCTGCTGCTGAAGCCCATCTGCCTCAAAGTTCGACATGTTGTGTGTTCAGAGATGCTCTTCTGCCTACCTCGGTTGTAACGGGTGGTTATTTGAGTCACTGTTGCCTTTCTATCAGCTCGAACCAGTCTGCCCATTCTCCTCTGACCTCTGGCATCAACAAGGCATTTCCGCCCACAGGACTGCCTCTCACTGGATGTTTTTTTCTTTTTCGGACCATTCTCTGTAAACCCTAGAGATGGTTGTGCGTGAAAATCCCAGTAGATCAGCAGTTTCTGAAATACTAAGACCAGCCCTTCTGGCACCAACAACCATGCCACGTTCAAAGGCACTCAAATCACCTTTCTTCCCCATACTGATGCTCGRTTTGAACTGCAGGAGATTGTCTTGACCATGTCTACATGCCTAAATGCACTGAGTTGCCGCCATGTGATTGGCTGATTAGAAATTAAGTGTTAACGAGCAGTCGGACAGGTGTACCTAATAAAGTGGCCGGTGAGTGTATATTCATTATTAGCCCTGAACATTGTAATAAAAGTTGGATCTAAGTGTTCATAGATAGTTAAAATAGCGTGTGTAATTTAAAGAAAACGGTTAACTACATAATTTGGACTTTTAGTTGCTGAAAGTTTGTTTTTTAATTATTTAAAAGCGTTCACGTTCATGTAGCTTGGAGAATAAACTTGTTATATTTAAAATAGAGTCACAAGAGCAAATACAGTCTCTGGATTCTCTATTACTATTACTTGAGTCAAAGACAGCATGTGTTATATAAAACCCCTGAAGCTGAGCAGCACCGGCGTTTCTAACAAACAGTTAATGTTGGCCTACCTAAGCCGACATTTGAATGCAATGGTTGTATAATGGCTTGATAAAACCTCGTGACATATCTGAGCTTTATTTGGCTGTTTATACTGTTTTCAACAAATAATTTAGTCAATAAAGGGTATTTCTCGGCGCCACATGTGACTGCAGCTCATCGCCGGCCAGACGCAAACCTAACCGAATCCTCCATCACTAAGCCGGTCGACTGTCATCACTCCCCAGGATGCTCCTCGGTAACAAAACCCGTATTGTTTATATGTTCACTCTATATAGAAGCTATTACAGCAAAAACATAGTCCGTTTTAAAATTCACTGCTTACTTACCTTGGCGACAGAGATCCAATAGTAGCAGGTGTAAGCTGCGCTAAACCCCAGTACGAGAGACAGCCCCACTCCCGAACCGAACAGCCCAACTTTCACTTGATTTTCCAAATAATGCGACAGGTCCCTTGTCAAAATGTTGAAGTTTAAGTTCAGCGAGATCATTGCAAGGTCCCTGTTGTCTCCAGTAGGGCGAGGACACCGGCCAGCTCGGTTGGAAATCCGCTGTCTGCCTGCGAGCCGACTATGAAGGAGACGGTCAAGGGGACCTGACGAGGGGAGGGAATTACACAGACGGCCGGCAGGGGGCGCACTTTTACCAGCCAAGATCAAATTGACTCTGTCGCCCTCTGCTGTTCACAGAGCTGTAGTGCACAGTGCTCACAGTGAATACAGGTCCTCTCATTATCAGTGAAAAACTGACAAATATAACACTAGCACCATTGAACACCATCAGAATAGGCCTATAATAAATAAATAAAATAAATGAGAACAAATAGTGTAAAAGTGATTAATATTAACCAAAGCAAAGCAATGCCCCTGTGGCTGCAAACTCACATGGGGTCCAAATCCTCCACAAGGTTACTTGCAGTAATTTAATTAATAGAAATTATCATCAAATCCTTGGGGTCTAGAACCAGATTTATAACCTAATGAGAACTCATCCTCCAGACACTTTCCTGGAGTCTGCAGTTTGTGTTTAAAAACATACTTTCCTATTTTGTTGCTGCACAGATATGGACTTAAAACATAGGTGGATTTTTATTTTTTATTTATTTAGGTACATTCATCTGAAGGAGAGAAAATACAATCAGTTTGGCTATGAATCATTTTGCTCAGAAACTCAACAGCAGACATATTTGGGTGTTTATGTAGTTTAAAAGATACTCATTGCAATGTCACAAAAATCAATGAAAAACAAAATTCACAAAGTAAGAAACAAAATCTGCACACATGCATTTATTTACCTACAGGAAGAGGCAACTGAAAACTGGTCAGCGATGGTGATGTAAATGGAAAAGTCATTTGGTTTGAGAAATACAACAATTGATCAAATCAGATTTGCTGAGTAAAGCATGAATATGTAATTTTGTTTACACTGAGTGTGTAAATCCACTTTACATATTTAACAGATCTAATAGGTAAACTAACATGACAATGCGAAAAATAAAAATAAATAAATACAAATTAAAATTAAAGTGAAATAAAAACATAAATATGATGTGCCATGCTAAAGACAAATAAGCCACATGACCACTTTATATTTTTTATTATTRTGTTTTGGATTTAATTTAACTTTGAGGCTTTATTCATGCCAGTTTACTAGTCATCAGCAACATGATGCCACAATAAATATAACGCTGACAACAAACATTTTGTCATATCTAAATATATAATTTTGAACTTTTTGTACTTTTGTCTGTACAATCAGTGACTTTTAGAAAGTCATGTTTTAAGCAAAACAGTAATCCCTGTGGTCTGTTTCTCTATCAAACCAAGCATCACACAGCTGTAGTTGAACTCATTTTGCAGACGCGCATGCGCAGTAAAGCCGGCCTTTTGTCTTCGTACTTCGTCGAACATCATCGTTCATCTCCGTAGCTAGTTGTTGCTCGTCGTCTGAGGGTTGAGCGATGATTGAAAATAATGGCGACGCGTTTTTTCTGACTTCAGCCCATGGAGCGATCTTGGGCTGATAAAACGAACACTTTGGATGCTTTCCCTGCACTTCCGACAACAACATTAAGGAAAATCAGACAAGAAAAGGAGTACTTTCACTCTAAGCCACAAGAAAATTTTATATCGCTACTACCACGGTTAGCTATCGCTAGCTGTTGTGCCTGCTAGCTTGCTAAGTTGAAGAGGTGGCATTCTTGTGTGGAAACAGGGAAGAGCAACGAGCACCCTGCTGAAAGCTGAGATCTGTGCATGTTAGAAATGTGTGTACTTTATGTCCCTGTTTAGATAAGAGTTTTTCAGGTGGGTACAATAAGTGAGCGCCGAATTGCTGTTGGCGTTAGGTTCTAGTTTTTGGAAGAGGCTCGGGCAGGGTACCCAAAGCAGAGACTACCTTCACTTGAGGATTGTTGTTAAGACATTTAATAGGAAAGCTGCCTTCCAGCGCAGCGATAGCTTGCTAGCCCACACGCTTAAGGATCGTTGTAGATTTGCAAGATATATTTTTTTGTAAATGACCACCGGCAGGAACAACCGAGCGATGATGGAAGGGGTAGGAGCCAGAGTGGTCCGCGGACCCGACTGGAAGTGGGGGAAGCAGGACGGTGGCGAGGGGCATGTTGGCACGGTTCGGAGTTTTGAAAGTCCAGAAGAAGTGGTTGTTGTTTGGGATAACGGGACTGCTGCCAACTACCGTTGTTCTGGAGCTTACGACATACGGATATTAGACAGTGCTCCTACAGGTAACTTTTTTTTGTTTACGTCTATCGGTAACACTTTCTGGCACAAAAGGAAAAAAATTGTATAGGTCCTCAAAAAACTGTATACAATTTTTTTTCCTTTTGATTTTTTACCTGGATTACTGAGATGCATCAGGACACTTTCTGGCACAATTTTTATGAAAGTTTATTGTGTATTCAAGATGTTCTGATCATTTCAACAGTTAAGAAATAACCATGCAGTTACATGAAAACAAACAAAAGAAAATCTGTTTTGTCGCTTAAGATACTTTTTGTAATTAAAGTAATATCTGTCTAAACTCCACTTCCATTAACAATTTGAATGCAAGACTCAACTGTGTAAGTTTTACACAGGATGCAAGTTCTGTTTGCAAAGACAATGAAATAATTATAGCAATCCTAATAGTAATGGAGAACAAGGAAAAGTTTATTTTACTGTGCTGTTATTAGAAGCTATAAAATTATTACAATAAATGTAAAGATTGCTCGTGTATGAATAATATCCAAAATGTTAATAGTAAAATGTGTTTTTCGTGTGTGTGTAAACAAGTCAGTCACAAATATTAACTTATAAATACCAATCCCCCTCAGGTATAAAGCATGATGGAACCATGTGTGACACCTGTCGCCAACAGCCAATCATCGGCATTCGCTGGAAATGTGCAGAGTGCACCAATTACGACCTCTGCACAACCTGTTACCATGGAGACAAGCATCATTTAAGACACCGGTTCTACAGGATCACCACTCCGGGCAGTGAAAGGTTTGTTAACTGGGCAACATATGGTCATTGTGTGAAACCCTACACCTAATCACTGATAAAGTAGCTGGACGGAAACAAAGGAATCCCTGCGTTCATTTGTTGGCTGGTTGGTCATTTTAGACATGTCGTTTCACTTTGTTACCTTATGTGAGTCTGTGATATCTGAGAAGCCTTTTGCTCCAACGACATAGGAGATGGGCAAATGCTATCTGTGTGCTCCCAGCCTTTAGTTGCCAAGCAACCGCTCAGTCTTATTTTAAAATCATCCAACCACATCTTTAAATACATAAATGTTGCATTGCAATGATATTCTGTAGGTTGTTTGTGTTTTATTTATGCCTCTTTCAAGCTTCTGTGCAACCATCCTGTGGTTATTTTCTTAAAGCTTAAAGCTCTTTCATTAAACAGTTCCACCAAATGGACGTAAAAAAAAATCAAAAATACCGAACGGTTCTACCTCTGGAGCCAGCCACGTTCTGCACAGATGTGAGCCCACAGAGATAAAGTGAGCGTTGCAGAACTCCACTGTGTTGAAGTGGAGCACAACGCATTAAAATGTGCGATGGACGTCTGCCTCAAAATCATTTTCAAAACACAACAAATTAACTAGTTTAGCTATTCTTTTTGTAGTTAACTATTTTTAAGCTAAATGTAAAGTTGCTGTGCATCGTTATTTATCTTCCCTCTGCAATAAATCTTTTTGTTGTTTAATTCTGTATCTAAGTGGTCGTGCAGATTATGTCATCCCTTCATAATATTAAGCCACATGTCTGCTTACCTTTTCACATGTTGACTGTTTTGTTACTAGCTTGCTTTATGGCACAAAGGCACATCAGGGGTGGGTTGGTTTAGAACCCGTTTGCACCAAATTGCACCAAGGTGGCCAGAAGGCGTCTATGTACTGACTTGAAGTGTTTTTCGAAAGTACTTTTAGTATATGCCATTTGTTTTTCTTACTGAACTTCCCAGACTACACACGGGTAGTAAATAATAATAATATAGTAATTTAAAGCATTTTGATAATGTAAATATTTTTATGATGTAAGATGCAATCATTTTACAATATGATGACAATATTATATGCAGTACTTAAGACTGTAAGTTGATAAAACCATCACTGTTTACTGTTTTTTGGCCTTTTTTTTCTTGGTCAGTCTTGAGATAGGTACATCAAAACTGTAGTTGTGTCCACAGACTACATGCAGGAAGCAGATGGTCCTCTCCACTGTGTAAAAACAGAAAGAAAAAAATAATTAAATGCCTAAAAAGAAGCATACTATTTGCATTTAAAACATAAATTTCCAACAAAGAAATATTTGCATGAAGCACAATGTCTGCAGCTGGTACCCTTTGTGTCATGTGGGTTTTACTAAATAAGAAAGCATTATTGAATTTTTACATTTTCTCAGGTTAAGGTTAAACATCCCAGGAAGCAATATTAAATTTATGTTTGCATTGAGGTTGAAACATTATAATAGTGGCAAACCAAGGAAGGGAATATCCTGCTAAAGAGAACTACTCTTATTTGCATCCAATTAAACAACTTCTGAAATATATGGATATTTGGAAACGGATTTTGTGCTGCTGTGAAATTTGGACAAAAACTGCAAAAAGCTATCAAGCTATTATTACTTATTATTATATCTTATTCCTTATTACTGTTTTACATCTAATCAGCTAAAGGCATACGAACAATAAACTTAAAACATTTGCTTTCAGTGTGTTCAAACATGTAATTTCATACAAGTAAAAGTTAATGCAAGACCAAATTTAAGCATTTACTAAGAGCTAACCGGCTAACTTATAAACATCTTAGGAAAGGTTTAGGGAAGTTTAATGTCACCAAAACTTTATTTAAAATTATTCTTAAATGTTGTCTATCTACATATTTCAGAGTGGATRTAAAGGCTTGCACATTTTGGGAAAAGACTGATGATCAAACTGATAGAGAATTTATGTTGCTGCTTTCTTTTTTTCTTTTTAAATAAAGAATAATCAAAAAAGATTAACAAACAAATTTGCAGTGTATCATTTGGGTCTTTACATGTTTTTGCTCACTCATTAAACTGTATAACTAGTGTTTGGTTATAGATTTTCATGCATCATTAGTTCTATAATAGTTCTCTGTACTTAATTTTTTTTTTTTTTTTCAGGTAAACATAATTTAGTCACTTAAAGCAAAAGGCCTAACAACTGACAGCCTTTTTTTAACGGACTATATCTTAGTTTCCCCTGAGACAGACATGTGTAATGCACAATGGATGCTGGACGTATCCTCAGCTCACTCTGCTCCTGCAGCTTGATGGGATSTTCAGTTACTAGCAGCTGAAAAGAGATTGATTTGAGATTGTAAACCGTTTCCACTGGCTAGACTTAGTCCTGCTGCTGTGTCTGACATGGCTCACACTGTTGGCTCAAGTTTTGTTAGTCATTATTATAAATAGCTGTTATTGTTATTTCCTGTACTGTCAAAATGAGTTAGAAATATAAGTAAATTTACTCATGTCAATACAACCCCCTCAAAAAATGCATATCGAGTGTCACACAAGTAATTTAACTTGCAGTAATTTATTTTTCTAAATGTTTTATCTGTGCAGAGTACTTTTGGAGTCGCGTCGCAAATCCAAGAAAATCACAGCCAGAGGGATCTTTGCTGGTGGTCGGGTTGTGAGAGGAGTCGACTGGCAGTGGGAGGACCAGGATGGAGGCAATGGGAGGAGAGGGAAGGTAAGGCATCGTCAACCGGAGGAGAGCTACGATGGCTGTGTTCATGCTACAGGCAAAAGTTAACCAAATCCATATTTTTTGTTTGTTTTGTTTTGTTTCCATATGGCAAGACATGGCAAGATCAAGTGTAAACACTGGATGACACAAAGATCTCAAAATAATTGAGTCCAATTCATTTTATTTATACTGTATAGCGCCAAGTCACAACAAACATCGTCTCAGGGCACTGTACACAAAAAACTATAAATCTAAAAAAGCCAGCAGATTGTGTTGAATCGTGTTGGTTCTGATTGCACAGCAACAGAATTGAGCCACACGTGATTATGTGTAGCATCCGTATTTACTTTTGTAAACAGTGTGCGGCGTGTGACATCAAATCTCCCCTTTACGCATGTGGGTTGCTTCAGGGCAGTGAACTGTTGACACTGTGGTCTGATGTAGGTTAAATTACAATGTTATTGGCCATGCAAACAAATTGGATCTGAACAAAATAAAAAAAATAAAAAACGGAATTCAACATTGACTTTCAATGTGTAACATTATTATTTTAATTTTTTTTTGTATTGAGTTTTGTTAACAATAACAGTTATTGCATGTACTTTCCTGATTTAGCAATTTTCACAGTGTTTTTTTTTTCATACCAACAGAAACCATAGGCAGTAAAGCTGGGCGGTATACCCGTTTGTACCGAAAACCGTTTTTATTTTTGTTATTATAGGAATTTTCTGAATACCCGTGTACCGATTTAAATAGCCTGGACATGTTCGGAACCGTCATGCCTGCCAGTAAACTGTTTCATGAGGGGATGCTTTTTCCCTGCAGCACCGCTGAACGTGCATGCAGGAACTAGCAGCACACAGGGCTAGCTAGAGTCATTGTGGGAGCAGCCTGGCAGCAGCTGGAGACTTCGTCACATTGGCTGACAAAAAAAAACAAAAACCAAAATATCTCCCAAACAAAAAAAATTCCCCTCGTTTTATATCAAAAGTGAGCGTTTGTTGTGTTAACATTTCTATTAAAAATAGAATTAAAATAGTAGTTGGAAATTAGGTTGTTTCTTTATTTTTTATTACTTTTTACTGTATTTTATATATGGTTATATGAGCCTTTGATGGGGGGGCTCAGTGAGCATTTTCCTAAACAGACGTGAGGAAAAAGCAAACCTCCACCCGAGGATATATTTCAATTGAATTCTGCAACAGCTCCAGCCAAAACAGGAAGGGCACTGCCTGACGCAACAGGCTTGTTTATTAGACACAGCAAGCAAAACTAACACAAACTGACCACAGTCCTTTTAATGCATCAGTATATTTGTTGTCATTATGTTGAAATAATTCAGATAGTATCAGTTTTTAGTGGTTTTAATGTAGAAAAAGTATTTGTGAATTCTAGTTTTAGGTTTGTACAACCAAATGTAGCAAAGGGAATATACTGTATATTCAATAACAGTTATTGAAAAAAGAAATTAGTTATTTCTCAGTAAGCTTTTTGCTCGTTTGTGTCAGGCAATGTTTCATTTCCTTTTATCATTAGCAGTGAACTACCAACCACTTACAGTTTTYAGTTCATTTTTATTGTGTGACCTCAGTTCCAAGTAATTTTACCCTTTTGCGCTCATTTCTGTTTATATTTGGGCTACAAAAAGGCTTCCTAACAGCAGGTTATTCCAATTTAATGTTTGTTTCTTCTGCATCATTAGAACATATTCACTGTGTAAAAGGTTTATATTTGTTTATGTCAGTATCTTTACTATGTCTACTTTAAAGTGTTTCAGTTATAGTCTCATGTGGACCTTGGAGTAGTCGATTTAAGTGCCCCTTTAAGCGATGTTAAACTTTATTTTGTAGTGTTATTTAATGACATATCTCATTATTGTTTTATGATGCTGTAAGCAATGTACTCTGTTGAAAATCACCATTACATGCCCTGCAGCTTAGATGTCCTGTTAGGTCAGCTTGAATGGTTTCTCCCGGATCCCATTAATCAGTTAGCTCTGAGAGTGACCTGAAAATAATTGAAGTTGGATTTTTTTTATATACTGTATATACTTAAGGAACACCCTTTAATTTGATAATCAATTTAGTCCAGAATCACTTTTCTTTTGACGCTGATATTATTAAAGCAATTTTCAGCTTGTGTTAAAGCGGGGGAAAGCTCACTTTGCACTGTTGTACAAGTTTGAAAGAAAATATAAAAAAATGTAACTTGTCTTGTCAGATGACTAAAAGCTATATAGTGTGTCCTATGTGAGTCAGTACTGCCCAGTTCAGTTCAATATTAGTTTCCGTTTTCAAGGCATCCAGTGACAAAAAGGTTTTCAGGGGTGTCAGTTAAGGGTGGGCACCTCAAAATGAGCTTTTCTTCATTTTTTTTCTTTAGCTGAAAAAAATGTAAAAACTAGAGTTAAACAAAATCAAATCTAGTGCCATTGTCATTATATGCCATGCGATGACAAAGTCTTTGTGTAGGGCACAATATCACTGGCAGGCACGCCTGTGAGCCCAATGGTGGAAGGCAGCGCAGAGCAGCTAATGCTAACCCAAACCCTATGAACTTGCTTAATCACCTGAAACACTGACATAAACTGGTGAAAAGCCAGAAAATGCTGACTAAGGCCACAATCGTTATTGGCTAAATGTGACAATTAATCATCAGAAATCATGTAAATATTGCCAAACGCTGGGAAAAACACACAACTTTACTGCAATGTGTTTCTRCTACAGGAAGTTACGGTAGCTCCACAACAATTTTCTGTCACCCTGTACGTCAGACCTCTTTGTTTTTGCGTACTTGAATAAAACTGGAAATATGCTAGTTTCAAAGCGCCCTGAACATTTCTCCTTTGATTCGTCTTGCTTTGMAGGTGACAGAGATCCAGGACTGGAGTGCGGCCAGCCCTCACAGCGCCGCCTACGTACTGTGGGACAACGGGGCAAAGAACCTGTACAGAGTTGGCTTTGAGGGAATGGTGAGGACAAACTCCAGTCATGCTCACTTCCTCTGCCCACACAGACAGAATCTCCTAAAAGAACAGCTGTAAGGTGGCTTTTGTGTCGACCGTAGCGATGGGGCTCTTTCTTTGACTGCCGGGCTTTTTGTGAGAGTCGCGCAGCCAGCATGTGTAGCAAACCTTTGTGCAGGCAGCTGGAAGGAGACAATATCTGCATGAGAAAGGCAATCTGTTCCTTCTGCTTTTAAGGGGGAGCAAGTGAACACGAAGGTCAACCTTCTGGCTGTTGTGGGCACCACGACACGCGTCCCAAATGGAAATTGTTCACCTCATTGGTTGAGATCGCATTTCCTTTTTGTGAAAGTAGCCAATCAGATTTATTGGTCGCATAATAGACTTGCTCTTTTTGTTATTCTAAAAAGTAAATAAAAGGGAGGTAGGTGGCRTCTGTCTCTTGTGTAAATCAGGATTCAGACCCCTAATCTTGACTTTTACATTTAATTTTATTTTACGAAGACTGCAAAAAAATACATATTTAACAAACAGTTAAAATGTAGTAAGGAGAGTCAAATTCTGTAATGCTCACTTTGTTGTCAGTGTACAATGTGGATATGATATTTGTGACCCATCATATCAAAATCAGGATTAAGTCAAATTTGGTCAAAATGACCTAAACACATTTTCAGATTCCTGGCTTTAAAAGCTACATTTTGATACCTGGATCATTCTGATGATATAACAGAACCAGAGATATGCCTTAATTTGTCTTGTTGGTTACGGTAATTTACAGCAAGTAAAATAAGTATTGAACACGTCACCATTTTTCTCAGTAAATATAATACTAGAGGTGCTAATGACATGAAATTTTCACCAGATGTTGGTAACAACC